TTGAACAACTAACAACCTGACTAGGGCGATCTGACAGTTCCAGAAGCAGCAACCTTAACGTTAGACCTGAGAGTCTCTAAACGGAGAATATCATAATGAAATAGAGCACGTTATAGTAAATTAAAGATTTTATCTAAGCGATATCGTTGTTATTTCAGAGTTTTTGCAAGGGATCACCATCATGCCTCAAATCGATTGCGCCTCAAAGTTAACTAGCTCCGCGCCAATTTATGCTCCCCAAATCATTCCCATTGACGAGTGATTGCTGATAACACTGTTGGGGTAAAGAAAAAACTGTGGGCAACCGACTTGAATCAATCCAGCTCTGAAAAAAGCGAAGACGCAGAAATCTTGGCAGAATAAAGTTTTTCGTCAACCTTTTGTTAGTTTATCAATGAAAGAACGTGTAGTCCCCCGACATCTTATAACGGAAATTTCCTCCTATGATATATAGTTTAGATCTAGATTTTCTTAGATTTAGATGATAGTTTTTACTGACGCGGAAGTTAGAGAGGAGGAATGGCCAAACGCAGTGATATGATTTGGCATAAGGTGACTACATGGGAAATAGGTGGATATAGAACAAAGGTAAAGCCTCTGACATTTCGTAATGGAAAATTCCCTCCGCGAATGACAAAGGTCCTGTCATTGGCGAATGTCGGTCTTCCTACTTTTCGTGTCTCTTAAGGCGATACACATCACACATTGATGCGACCACCGGCTTCAAGAAGAACATAAGGATCGGCATCTGCAGAGAATGTTTTGGTTTTATGGGTGCACAGCAAGAAGCAATCTCCATGGCGTGGGCGTGCTCGTTTTGTCCGTTTCCAGTGATGTCCTATGCAATCCGAGATTTGATCACCTCACATAGGATGTTCCACCGCTCGATGTCGTAGACGGAGCGCCCAATGTGTGGGATACTGAGACTGGAGTTTAGTTGGTTGAGCCACTGTGGTTCCCTAGAGTTCCGAGATCAACCTAGCCAGTGTACCCAAGGTCGTTACCACCATAGGCTTTGTGGATCGGAGGGATATTTGCTACCTTGGAACTAATTTGATAACAGGACGGTGGTGATTCCTGATATTAGTTTACTCTTAACTGGGCCTGTGAATGGAAACGTCGGACTCCTTCCCAGCTTCAGATACCTTGTTGGACTAATAAGCAGGCAGCTGTACATCATAATCCGACATCCAGAAATACTTCTCGGCCAGGATGAGGCGGCAAACTATTGCGAGGGTGTGAAGGATTACTGCATAAAAATACTTGGTATGGAATTGCTGGTTTTCGATAATAGTCAATGAATTTTCGATAATTGAAAAACTCCAGGAGTGAATAACATCACAGTATGGTACAAGAGACTTTGCTGCATCGTATTAGAGCTAGAGTGATGTCTGTTAATAGTTACTGTGGTTCTTCACACAGATACCTTACTGTTACAATTCAGGTGTTTTGCACCTTATGATGATCCTATTTGTGCACTTTTTATACCGTCCCATTCTGTACTGTAACTACGACTCATTACAGCGATTGAAAATGAAGTAATGGCCAATTACCAGTTGAATTACTGACCTATGATCTCGTCTGGAAAAAGGTATTTTGTACTTTTCTAAGTGCGGAATAGAGCTTTCTTTCAACAGTTTATCCCCTCATCGTGGCTGTAAGATGTTCCTGGGTGTACGGCTGCGATGTACAACGGTGGGTTCATCCCCAAGTAGGACCTCCCAAGCTAAGAAGCTCAGAACTCCCATTCGGAGTTCGAGTTAAGGGTAAACCAATACCAATACCAAAAATTATCACCGTCCTGATATCAAACTAGTCGCATGGTGGTAAATCTTCCTCTGATCCACGAGGTCGGTGAGTGTTTGTGGTTTTGGCGACCCCTGAGGCTTCGGCTAAGCTAACTTCGGGACTCCAGAGAAGCACAATGGCTAAACCGGAAAATCTTTGAGGAATGGAAATTATGCTGAAGGCCACACAATAAGTGATGAAGGGCCATCCAAGTATTCAAGTAAGTAAGAATAGACCTTTTCCCGATTGACGTGCGCCACAATATGTGTTGGATAATCTATAAAATAATCACAAAAAGTACATGAAAAAAAACCTTCCTGAGAAATATAAGATGAAATGAACAGCCGGAAAGAAAGTGCTTCATATAAAACCCAGCTTTGCCCGTTAGCACGGAAACACATGCATCATATATGATTCATGTCGGAACTGATGTGTTAAAAGAAGTTGTGTAAATAGACGTCTAGGGCTTGCATAATTCATGAAATCACTCGCAGCTGATTCAACAGCTGCACAGTCATGTGCTCGTTGTCCCTTATTGTACTGTGTAGCAAAACGTTAGAACAACATGCTACCATGTCGGAAACGGTACTGGCCATCGGCAGAGTCCAGAAGCAGACGTGAATAAGTAGTAATAAAGGGTAAAGCTGTCGGCGTTTATCCCTCCCCTGAGGATGCGCCATGCATTCGACTTCATTAAGCATCGTTGAAGGTGAATGAATGAATATCTGGCCTTTACAATAATACACGGTAGCCTAGCAGTGTATCGAACCAATGTTGTTATCCTCCTACACAAGTCTGGTATTGATTTGCCGGGCCCGGAGGGATAAAGGCTTCATGGGCCTGGGCCGCGGGATCGATCTCATGTGTATTGCAGCGCACCTCCGATCACTGCGCTATATACGCTTTAGAGATGGATGTTTTCGGCAAGTGGGTCCTTGTTCTAAGAAAAATGGGACACAGTGGAAGTTAGGGATGAAGGGTCGAAGTAGTTCATATACAAGTACATCATAACTTGACTGGAAATCAATGCTTTATAATCCCTACGTTCTTCTTCAGATGGTGATCGACCGATATGCGACAGCACTGAAACATTTTTGTCCCGGGTTTTCCAACTATTCTTCTGAGAAGGTTGATCTTACTAACGCAGATACCAAATGTCACCGTAATCGCGTGCTCGAAATTGCTTTGGCAGTAGTCAGTCGTTGAGTTCATGCTGATTCATAAGTAAGAACCGCCGTTGTTTATTGATCGAGTAGGTCACGAGTATTCTTTTTATAATAGGGAAAAGCAAAAAATGACTAGGTACTCATTCTGATGAATGCATTCGCTTTCTCATCTGGGTTTGCAGCTGGGAATTGCTCACTCACAGGGTAATCGATCGCAGCATGCAACGGACCACTCGTCCCGTCTTCTGACCAGTTCAAAATTACCAGTTAAAATTACCTCATAAGCGGTTTCTAGATTCGCTTCCTGTTCTTTATTGAATATTCGTAGCGCTAAGTCGTAAAACTTTTTGTGTATGTTTCTTTTCTTTTCTTACTTTCCTTTTTCTCCTTTTTTCCTTTTTTCCTTAATTTTTTACTTCCTAGGAAAGCACTAGTAAACACGTTTGCCTTTATTTATTGATATGTTTTTACAAACCAATCTTGTTGAGCTGATGCGACGTCGGCATAAAGTTAAAGGGAAGTCGGTTTTCAACTATTGTTATGCTCTTTGGTAACTTATAAACCAAATCTCCCTCATAACCATCAAGTAACCATTTTGTTAGTACTTCGTTACTATCGAGTAGTGCTCTCGTCTTTGCTACCTGCGGAATACCTGTCTTTGCCCAGTGTGGTAGATCCTATTAGATCCTATTTCATTTTTCTACAATAAAACTTAGTTTTAGTATGAGCGGTTGGTGTGCAGAATCCGACTGTTCACCTCGTCGTTCTCCTGAACCCGATCGAGCCGTCTATCATTTCGTCAACGATCGTCTATCTGGTGAATTTTTCCATAATCTCACTAGTCTTCGAAGGTAAGTGGGTTCATTCCACTTGATTTCCTTAGTTATACGTTATACCGCTGGTAGTGTCATGTGATAACCATAATGTTGCTGAGATATTTGCAAAACTCCAGACCGCAAGTGTCTGCGGTGGAGATCGAACTCGCTATTACCCTTTCCGGAGGGTAGCATGCTCACCACCACACCATATGGGTCCTCCGTTCCGGCTTCTTCTCAGCCGTATTTTAACCTGTGGATGCTATCAGCAATCAGCCTTCAACGGTACTGATCTGGAGAGCACAAATCGGTATTGAACCCAGTTAAGATGAAGCTGTGGTATAAATTACAATGTGGTCATTTTTTATTAACTGCCTATTCTCTTTCCATGACAGGGTATGATGTGAAATATGATCACAACGATGCTGAGATATTTCCGCAAAACTATCGGAAAGGGTAATGAGGAGTTCGATCCCCGGCGCGGACACCTACGGTCCGGAGTTTTGCAAATATCTCATTATCATTGTGGTTATATTTCACATCCTACCATACTATGGAAAAGAATAGGCAGTGAATAAAAAAGTGACTATATCATGAAATAGTTTGTCCGTGATGTTGTATTTGATTGTGGTCCATGCATACCATTGTCAGAGTTGAACTGCTAGCAAACTTTTTACGAGTATATTTGTGCTTGCTTGCTTGGACACCTGGGCTTCCCATTTTCACTGGTTGTGCGGACCTTAGCATAATTTCCATTGTTTCGGAGTTATGTTGGTCCAGCCATTATAGTTCTCTGTAGTCCCGAGGTCAGCCTTGCCAAAGCCTGCTCCAGCTCGTGAACACCCCAGGCAGTCGCCGCCTTTGTGGATCAGAGGGAGATTTGCCATCATACGACAACTTTGATACCAGAACGGTGGTCGATCGTGGTATTTGTTTAGTATTAGCTAGGTTTCTTGGTGGAAACTCCAGGCTCCTCAGCTTGGGAGGTTCTGTGGTGGGGATGAATCCCGCGCTGTACATCGCAGCCCGATACTCAGGAACACCTTACAGCCACGATGAGGCTGTAAACCGTTGGGAGGTGTATTTGTACACTTAGGTTTATCTTCAAACTGCTTCTAATCATAAGACTGATATCTTGTCAAAAGCCAGCCATGGATATTGTTATGTATTCGTTGCTTCACAGGTTTATAATTTATGAAGGCGTTACCATTTATGGTTTTTTTTGTTGAATATGCAGTGCTTTAGGAATGATGAGCTATGTGATGTTGTGCTCGAGGCCTGCGGGCACGGTCATCCTGGAGGAGCCGAGTCGGAAAGCGCTCCTCCAACAATAATAGCTGCTCACAAAGTTGTTTTGGCAGCTTCTTGTCCATACTTTAGGTTTAGATTTTGTATTATGTCTTTTTGCAGTTGTGTGACATTGAAGATCCAATGTTATTCGTAATTTTAAGGGCAATGTTTACGAGTAACATGCTGGAGTCGAACAAGGATCGCATTGTGATAATGGTGAGTTCGGTCCAGTACATCCAACTTGAACAACGTCGTTGTTTGTTTCTCGTGCTGTCAAAGTATGAAATCCGCTAGATGCCCTTTGTAGACACAGGTTTAGAGAACGCTTTCTTTGCGATACTTGTTGCATTTGTTCTTAACTGTGATATCCACTCCTTTAGGACATAGATGGTGCAACGTTAGCGTTACTGGTTGAATATATGTACAGCGGGCGTTTGGATATTTATGAGACAAATGTACAATGTTTGTTGAGAACGGCAACCATTCTTCAATTGACATGTGTGCGTGATGCGTGTTCAAGGTGAACCGTTTATATCATTTTCTTTACTATTATCTTACCTTCCCTGTTGTGTTGCGCAGTGGTCAGAGGCACCCTGAAATACACATTAGATCGATCCCGCGCCCAAGGCTTACCAAGTCTTCCATCCCTTCGGTATTGGGAAATTTGTACCAGACTTGTCTGGAAGGATAGCAGCATGGGTTCGATACATCGGTAAGCCACTGCTGGTCATTGTAAAGGCCAGATATGCATTCAGTTACATCCAATGATGCTTAGTGAAGTCGAATGTAACTATTCCCACATAAATCCGGCCCCAATTTCCCGTTTGTGGGACCAAAGTTTTGGTGGGCGTTGTCATGAGCATGTGGCAATATAGAACCAGCACTGTACTCGTGATGGATTACATTACCATCGTTACGCTTCTGACTCCCAAACTCTTATTTTCAGTAAATTAGTTGTCATGTCTTTCATCTGCTATGGTAGGGTTTCCTAGATTTCTTTTGGAACAGCTGGATGCAACGAATTGTCTGGGGATCGCATCATTTGCCCAAACACACAACTGTACGCAGTTAGCCCACGCGGCACAAATGTACACTCACCAACATTTTAGGTATGGTTTTTCAAAAGGTTTCTAGCCCTTTGTTCTTTTTTTCTTCCCACTTTTTCTGCATTACAGGTTGTTGATCGAGAGCGAAGAACTGCTATCTATGGATGAGGCCAGTTTTATCGAGCTTATTTCTGATGATCGCCTTACAACGGAGGTTAGACTTGTTTTTTTTTTTGATGCATCAATAGTGGGAGATTTTGAAGTTATTTAGTTAGATTTGGTGTCCTTTCCTGTCTTTCATGATGATATAACAAATTTCAGGTTAAAGATTGACTATATACTCCTTCATTGGAATAATTTTCTAACAATCGACTTTCTGTTATTCTGTTCAATTCAGGGTGAAGAAACTGTTTTTGAAGCTGTGGTTAACTGGGTGAAGTATGATCCATCACGGAGAGCTTCCTTACCAAGGTATCGGAAACGTCCTTCATTGTTTTCTGATAGCTTGTTAGTATTTTATTGTAGAGTAATGGAAGCTGTCCGCTTGCCTCTGATCTCACAGGAGTTCCTCTTAGATCGTGCTTATCAAGAACCTTTAGTACGTTTATGCGGTGTACTTTCTTGCACACATACTAGTTGGTGGAACCTCTAGTAGTATGTTCATTGTAATGTAGATCCAAGAGTCGCCTGCTTGCATTTCGATGCTTTGCTCTGTTTACCACCATATGCTGAAAAAAGAAGTAACACCGGGACTTTCTGCAGATTGGATTCGTCCTCGTCAGCCAGTACCCATGTCGCAAGTGAGGTTTAATTACACAGATTTTGTAGGAATTCTAATTCATAGTTTTCCACTGTCTGCGGATGTGGTGTATGGAATGTTATAATATGAGTTTTAGCTCATTATGGTTGTCGGAGGGCAAGCACCGAAGGCTATTTCAAGTGTGGATACATTTGACCCGGATTCACAACGTTGGAACTCGCGTTCGTAAAGCTGCTGCATTTCATGACTTTACAAATACTTATGGGTTTTGTTCTTGATTTGGATTCCTCTACATCTCATCTCATTTCAGTGGCTCCATTGCAGCAGCGCCGGTGCCGATGTGGTGTAGTGAAGGCGGGAGATTTAATTTATGCAATTGGTGGCTTCAATGGAACGGCACGAATTAAATCTGTAGAAATTTATGATCCCCGCAGGTTAATATGTATTCGCTTGCTCTTTGATATATCTATCGCAGATCAAAAAGTTCTTTTTGTTTTATTGTAATGTTATTCTGAAGCTAGTGAAATGCTTGTTTGGTATTTCAAGAAATAATCTGTTCTTCCTCCCAACGGTATACCGCCTCATCGTAGCTGGGAGGTGTTCCTGGCTGTCGGACTGCGATGTATAGCGTGAGATTCATCACCTGGCAAGACCTCCCAAGCTGAGGAGTTCGGCGTTTTCATAGGGAGCCTAGCTGAGAGTAAACCAATACCAAGATCCACCACCGTCCTTGTATCAAAGTCGCTTGGTGGCAAATCACCCTCTAATCCACAGGGGCTGCGACTGCCTGTTGTGGAGACGACCTGGGGCACGCTTTGGCCAGGCTGTCCTCGGGACTTCAGAGAACTATAGTGGCTTAACCAGCAAATCTCCGAAAAATTGAGATTGTGATGAGCTATCGGCAATCGCCCACCATCCAGTGGTGAATGATAGAAACTAAGCTGAGAGACAGGCAAAACAAAGGACCCACATGATGATCGTGTAGTGGTGAACGCGTTAACCCCCGGAAAGCGTAATAGAGCGTTCATTCCCCACCGCAGAGATCTGCGGTTGGGATTTTCGCAGGTATCTCAGCATCATTGTGGTTGTACTACACATAATACCCTGCCGTGAAAAACTGTAGTAGGCACCAAATAAAAAGCTAAAGTTAAGAACAGATTAAACACTTGAGACTTTAATGCCCCGTCCTCACAGGCTGTGCAGGTGGTGTGTTGATGAACGCGTTAGTTCCCAGAAAGCGTAATAGAGCGTTCGTTCTCCACCGCGGACAGCTGCGGTCGGGAGTTTTGCAAATATCTCGGCATTATTGCGGTTATACTTCGCTTAATCTCTTCTTCGTTGGTTATATTATTCCCAACAATTTTTTTAGGGATTTGTGGTTAACTGGTCCATTTATGGAAGCCCGTCGGAGCACGTTAGGTGTTGCAGTTCTTGATGGATGCATAGTTGCAGTTGGTGGATTCGATGGCTCTACGGGGTTATGCAGTGCAGAGATGCTGGACCCACGTCAGGGTAGATTTTTCTTCTTTCTTGGTGATGAGTATACTTCCTGTATTAACAGATAATCCTTTAACCTAATTTTTCGCTGACTGAAGACGATTTTACGATAACTAGAGTGTTTAAAGAGTTGCAAACCACACTCATTTATAAGAGAGACCTTGTTCTACTGACTTAATGATATGTGTAGTTCGTATAAAAGATTTTTCCGGTTTCTTTAGTATTGAAATTTTTACATGTTCTTACTATTATCCATGTCTCGTAGGTCAGTGGATGGCATTGCCTTCGATGACGACACGGCGATCAAGTGTAGGAGTTGCGGCTATGAATGGTGTTGTTTATGCTGTAGGCGGTTATGATGGACAATCTAGACAATGCCTAAATTCTGTTAGTCGATATGCATTTTCATGGCTCGTGCAATCAGTCACCCATTAGTTTTCTAGGTAGAACTCTATGATACGCGAGCGAATCGATGGAGAATAGGAGAGCCTTTGCTTGAGGTCCGATCGGGGGCTGGTGTAGCCATATATCGTGATCGCCTTATTGCTGCCGGTGGCCACGATGGACCAGTGGTTCGTGCAACAGTCGAGGTAACCGATTCGATCCTCGAATCGGAAGCAAGCTTCATTACTTTTTGCTCATTTGGTGTTTTATTACCCAAAGGCTTGATGGTTTCCTATACTTAGATGTTGTCTGGTGATGGTTGGATGTATTTGCCAGAGATGTCGGTGTGTCGAAGGAATGCTGGTGTTGTAGTCGCCAATGGTCAGTCAGTGCTTATCTTTATTCTATTGTCTTCCTGCTTATTTCCATAGTTCGGTGAAGTTATTGCAGGTTTCGTTTTCGCTCTTGGTGGTGATGATGGTACAAGTAATTTGTCATCAGTGGAATGTTTAGAGGTAGATGGTGTGAATCAGTGCTGGAACACATTACAGGCATGTTTATCTTGAATACGTTCTTACTTTGTCTTATACTACCTTTCATTTCTTGAACGAAAGCTCATAATTGCAGACGGAAATGCAACAGGCGAGATCGTATTGTGGGGTTACCTTATTGCCAAAAATTTAAGCTTTCCTGCAATGTTCCATGGTTTTGTTGGTCCTGGCTTGTGTACTTTGGACGATAGCTCTTTAGCTTTCATCGCTGATAGCGTGCTTTATTAAAGTTGTTCAAGGACTTAAGGACTTTGTATATTTCGTTTAATATAGGAATTGACTGGTATACCGTACGGTTTCTTACGTCTAACTAATATTGTAGATACCCTTGTTACCAATCTGTGATCTCGTAGATGTAAAATAATTTGTTGAAAAGATTGCCACTCTAAGTTTTCTTTAGTTCATTTTTGTGAAGAATGTAATATGTGTCAACATATATAAATATGTACCGTATTGTTGTTATTTTTCGACTTTGTATTGTTTCCATTCCTCTTATTTCATGCTCAGAAACTTCATTCTCTAAGCAGCTGAAATTCTGACTATACAGGAATGACGTAATATCAGCAGTACGAGCGTAGTTGCCCTTGGATCCCATCTACAGAATAAAACAAGCCTTGCTAACCCGAAGACTATTCAAATGGATGCTCCAGTTAAACAGGAGGTTTTATCTGAAAAGGAGTGCATCGATGATGATCCTTGTTATGGAACGGTAGAGATTTTGGAGTATGAGCAGAGACTTATGCTCGATACTATGGATGATGATGTGATTTTCATTCATGGCAGGTGGGAAAAGGTTTTATTGGATTTAACAAAAATGTTCCTATTAGGTAGTTGTGAAATACCTTTCATAGTATTTGTAAATAAGTAAACAATACAACCGTAATGCTGCTAAGGTATTTGCAAAACTCCGGGCCACAGGTGTCTGCGGTTGGGAACGAACGCGATATTACCTTTTACGAGGACCAACGCATTCACCGCCGTACCATTCGGGTCCTTCGTTTCGCTTATCTCTTAGCTAAGTTTCTATTTACCAGTGCCATCGACCAAGTTGACAATAGGATTTTTGTTACTGATTGCTAAGCACGATTCCAATTGAACAGCAACCTCCTGTTATATACTACGAACTCTTGCAAAAACTTGGGAACCACCACCCTGCCTAGTATCTGCATTGTAATGAATGCGAATGTTTGTTATTCCACGGTGTATCGATGATTCCAATAGTTTCGAATAGTTTGTCGAACCAGCTCTCAAAGATTAACATTAATTCGGGCTGTCATTTTAGTACAAGGAAGGAACAAGTGAATGTAACTATCGTGTAGCCGAAAGCGGCCAAACGAATTGGTAACACGTTGATGACATCTACGATAGGGGTAGGATGGTTACACTGGCATAATTGGTGCCAGATTAATAAAAGTCCAGTTTGCATGACAAGAAGTCTATTGTGCTCTTGGTGGGATTCGGTAGAAATGTTATATAGTGAACTCATGCTAATCAGTGCCATCGAGACGTGCTTACTACTGAAGTTCTCAGGATAACTTCATCCAGAATCGTCCTAAAAACAGCAGTGTTCTTCTGATGCATGCCAACGCTCATAGACAAGGAAATTCGTAGAACAATTCTGACAACGATGTGCGAAGTTCTATCCTTCTTGGCACATTTTCTGGGCGTTGTTTCTTTTATCCATTGTTGATTTCGAACTCTCAAGATTTTGGGACTCATTTGCTGAGTAATGTGTTGGACCATCAAGCAAAGTGCTATAGACGTTTTATTCACTTCGCAATTTCCATACTTATGGGGAAAGGCTATCGATCACTTAGCCATAGAGTGGGAACGTGCGATAGGTAATTGTAGCGGTTATGGTTACTAGAATAGATTCTGAATGATGAAAGTTCTCGATCAAAACCCGTATTTAATCTCTTCAGAGGACTCGGCGTTGAACGGATGTTCTTGAATCACCTCATTTTGTACTCCGATCAGAAACTGCTAACAATTGTACTGAATACCTCGCCACATGACGAGGTATCCGTTTTCAGTTTGACTCTCATAGTACTCAGACATCCTGTTTCAAATGTGTTTCTTCCTTCAGGCTTACTTCTTATCTCGTCTAAAACTTGCAAACATTCCTTGCCTTCCCAAGGTGGTGAACGCTGACGTCTCAACAAAAGACAGGTAGATAAAGTTTTAAAAGATAATATTAAAGAAGCAAAATTGTCTCATAAACTCCTTACATGCCTCTTTTGCGCAGGTATGGAGCTTTATCCTTTTAATGTTTTCTTACAAACGTAAATGAGTTTCTTAAGTAAATATATAGAAGGCAGTGTTAATAGAGCATTTTAGAGAGGCTGTGTACCTTGAAGGTGGTGTTCAATTCCTAACGTCACGAATATTTTTGGTCGATTTACTCACTGGTCGTGCACCTGTTGAAAATATTGCTTTTATAATGGTTTACCATGCTCATCAGTATGTTTTCCTCCCTACACTTTTATTTATTTAAATACATGGATGGCCCGTCTTCACTGGTTGTGCCTACCCTAGCAAAATTTCCATTTTTCGGAGTGTTGCTGGCTTAGCCGTTGTGATTCCTTCGAGTCCCGCGATCAGTCTGATCAAAGTCTGCTCCAGGTCGTCACCACCACAGGCAGTCGCCGCTCTTGTGCATCAGAGGAACACTTGCCACCACGACCCTAGTTTGATACCAGTACGGTGGTGGATCCTGGTATTGGTTTACTCTTAGCTGGACTTCCTGGTGAAAAAGCAGCGGTCCTTCTCAGCTTGGGAAGCCCTACTAGGGGATGAATCCCCGCGCTGTACATCACAGGCCGACACTCAGGAACGCCTCACAGCCACAGTGAGGCGGTAAACCGTTGGAAAGTTTCCTCCCTATGATGACCATATTTGTAACTCCAGGTTTTGAATGCTATTTATGTTTCTTGCAGGGTCTTATTGTCGTTTCAAGAGTCCTTCATACTTCGTTTGTATCGTGAGCGTAAGCCTGGAGGTTTTGTCAAGGTTGCGTTTTCAACATTCATATTTGCTGCCTTCATTGTCTACTTTTTTGTTCTTATTTTGTTTCTGTTAGAGTTTATCCTTGTCTTGTGGTGTTTTTCCTCTTTTATGCAATAAATTCTGAGCTATCAAACCAATAGAGTACATTCATCTCATCTCTGTTATTACTCTTCAACTGTTCAGGCTTTTACTGATGTACCGACTTCAATCAGTGCGCTCGGACAGCTTCAGCGAGTAGTTGATCGGTTGTACATCAAACGAGTTTGTCTACTTCCACGATTCGATGCAGACGTGAAACTTACTTTGGAGAAAACACCGGTAATAGGTTCTCTATGTATTTCCTATGGCCACTTGGTTTTTGCTAAGACTATGCATAGGACTGCAGTTTCAGCCTGTATTCACTGAACTCCTCGTCGATCTCCATCCCACTCTCAGGCGTCTCCACACAACCTTTATAGAGTTATTAAAGGTTTGTATTCGTGAGCTGAAGCAATGCTCAATTGCAGAGAAACAGGTACTTATTCCATTCTGCTCGAAATTTTTGAATAATAAAAGGTAATGGAGAATGCTCTCGGGTTTGATCAATCCCTGAGGGATGCGCTACGCATTCGACTTTATTAGGCATCGTTTTTAGGTAATTGTATGCATATCTGGTCATAACAATGACTCGAGGTGGCCTATCGATGTATCGGGCCAGTGGTGCTATCCTCCCAGTCAAGTCTGATATCAATTTATCGACCCCGGGGGGATGAAGGGCTTGGTGGGCCCGGGGCGCGAGTATCGACCCATGTGTATTTCAGGGCGCCTCCGACCACTGCGCTACACGTGGCTCTATTGATATCACTGCATTGTCGACGTAATGAAGTTGAAAAGTACGTTGGTTTTAACAGATGACTTCTGTTTTGCAGGTTACTCTAGAAGAAGATACCATTAATGTAGCTGCTTATAGACCGACCTTGTTGGAAAGACAACTAAATGAAAGAAGGTGGGAATGTTTTCTTTCTGTATGTATGGGCAGCAAAATAATCGCTTTCGGTTTAACACGTAACGCCTGTCACGCATTGAGCACATTTCGTTTGGCGCGAGGCAGTGAAGGCTTTCTGTGTTAGACCAATACCTGTCTACTTATGTGCCGCGTTACTAATTAAGATAATTGAACTTCCTATTTGCACTTTTTTGCGTCAAGCCTCTTATTATGGATTGAACAACAGGGATTCCATCCAGCAAGAATGGTGGTGCTCTCATATGCATCGTAGAATTTTGCGATTGCTGCCGTTGCGTTGTAAATTTCAAGATTCCTAATTTCGTTTTCAATTTCTTTTATCATGTTTTTACGAAAAGTTTAATACTGAGGAGATATTTGCTGAAAATTGTGCACGCGCTTAGGACGGAAAAGTAAATTTTCTCGTGAATCTGTGAGGTTTTCAGTTCCTCAAGTACTCCAAGTATTTTAAGGATTGAGAAGTTATTACCGTTCATTTGAAACTAGCTTTCCTTGGCATGTGTGAAGCTACCCGCTGCCAATGCCTTCGTTTTATTGCGTTTTATAAATGAGAGCTTTAGGTCATTCTTAACCGACAAGCAACTTCGTCTAATATCTGACTTATCCTTGCTGCGCGAATTACTACAGACAGCAGAAGACATGGATCCGGCGTCTGTCCTGTTTCGGATTAATGCTCTCAGGAACGATAAGGAGGTAAGATGCATTCATTAGTTGCCATTTGTACAATTTTCTCTTCGGTAGAGTATCCAGGTAACATCGTTCCTGAGAGCGTTAATCCAAGACAGTTCTAGGTTTTTGAGAAGAGCGGTTCCTGGATGATGTCGCGGGTAGCTACGTCGCTAATTGCTGATGTTGAAATGTTATGCGGATACGGAGCGTTCTCTTCACGTCCTTTTATTTGTTGGTTACTAACTTATTGCTGTTTCTTTGGCTAAGGTGAAATGTGACAATTTTTCTAGTGTCAAACGTCTTCAAAATTAGTGAGTGCTATGCGTAGTGTGCAGTCTTAACTCGTGCCAATGTTGTTAGAAGCACATGGTAGAAAAAAGCCAAACGTAGGTAGAATTGGTTTAAACAACGGCCATTCCGTACAACTTTTCTTTAGCACCTCCAAAGTGGCAGGTTATTGGATCGGTATTGAAAGAAATCAAGAACATTCCGGTTCGACCATCTGAAATTAGCCTAGATGGTTAGTTGGAGTGATTTCCATGGCACTGTTTTCGGTGTTGCTACCTGTTAATGATGCTTCATGTGCCGTCATTTAGGTCCTTCGATATTGCTTCTTGCCAACAATGATGCTGTTGCACGGCAGTTGACAGATTTAATCAAGGACGGTCCAGAATTCCTCACCTGGCTCGCAAGACGTTCACTGGGAACTTCAGTGAATGCTAAAGAACCTGAGCGTACTCCATTATGGAACAGCGATCATGTCACTTCATTGTCAAGAGGAAATGCGGTGAACTTGATTTTTGTTTCTATCACAGAAGAATTTCTGTGAACCCAAATCTAAATATGGCCTTCTCCAGATGTCCGATCCACATAAGGAAATGGTATCTGACCTTCAAAAAAACACTTTAGTAACGGCAAGAGCGGCAAGACGACGTCGAAAGGTCGATTTTTCTTGGATTTAATAATAGGCCAGGTTATAACCAGTAGCCAGTAGTCCGTATATAATAGGCCATTCAATAATGTTTTCTTAGGCAGCGGAAGATCTGGTTGGACTCTCGGATTTTCGTCAAAAGCAAACAAAAATTGTGCAGTTTGGAATTTTGCAATACAAGAAGCAACGAACTGATTGTCTGGTGCGTGCTCTTTACTCCTTTACATTCTTATGATAGTAGGTATATTTAAGTTTATTTGACCATGAGTGTTCAAATTGGTGTAGACCATCAGTCATTTCCGCAGAATTGCAACATACGACGAAACTAATTTGGACCACATTAGAAGTAATAAGAGCGTAAGAAATCTGTTGAACAAAACTCTGTCAGTGACAGCTAAATAATTAGTAATAATATATTGCAGAAACAAGTCGTTGCATTATCTATGGAGTTCCTCGCAACGGTTTACGGCCTCATCGTGTCTGGGAGGTGTTCCTGGGTGTCGGGCTGCGATTTACAGCGGGAGTGAGATTCATTCCCACAACAGGCTTTCCCAAGCTGAGGAGTTTGGCGTTTTCATCAGGAAGCCTAGCTAAGAGTAGGCCAAATTTCACCACCGTTCTGGTATCAAAGTCGCATGGTGGCAAATCTCCCTCTGATCCACAAAGGCGGTGACTGCCTGAGGTGTTCACGAGCTGGAGCAAACTTTGGCTAGGCTGACCTCGGGACTTCAGGGAACCACGATGGCTAAACCAACAAAACTCCGCGAAAATGAAAATTATGCTGGGCAACACACAAACCGTGAAGATGGGTCGTCTAAATATCCAAGTATTCAAACATTATTTACGGAGTTATTACGAGTTCTCAAATGTTTACCGTTACTATCATTATCACTGCGCTTAGATATCTGATAGAGAAAATTTCCGTTATTTTCGACCTGTGGAAGCACACAGCGTTGTCTTTTTCCGTGTGCTTTTTCAAATATAGAAATTTGTGCGCCCTACATAAATGCTAAAAGACAAGAGGATAAAGCGCTTGTTGTTGGTCAATCCCTAAAGGATGTGCCATGCATTCAACAATCATGTAGGTGATATAATACACATCTTGCCTAACCAATGTTTTGATGGCCATCCGTATCACATCAGTGTTTTTTATCCTCCCAAAAAGTCTGATACCAATTTGCCAAAACCGAGGGATGGAAGGCTAGGTATGCCTTGGGAGCGGAATAGAACCAGACGTTGATATCCGCTGTATCGCACGTCACCTCTAACCACTGCACTACACGGATCCTTTTTGAATCAATCTTTGTATCATCGCGCCCTCTCCTCTCCTCTCTTCCTCTCTCCTCTTCTCTCCTCCCTCCGCTCTCACCCTACTTATCCTCCTTCGTGCTTATCTACTTATCATTTGGAGTTTTAGCTCTCTGAGTAGATTTTAGTTCTAACCACAATGTTGTTGATACATTTGCAAAACTCAGATTCCAGGCCAGATTCGAACCTACGACTACTCCCTTTCCGGGGGTTCACGTGTTACCCATTACACCACTGAGGCGATTGCTTTGCCTTTCTCTCGGCCAGTTCTTTACCCTAATACAGTCTCATTTGCAATATGATTTCCAGGATTTTTCTTTGGCCAAAATGTTCCTAAAATTGCCACGACCGACTTTCTATTAACCTCGGCATTGATCAAGTGATTTTCTTCGCATTTTTGTTGAGCAAACGCGAGGTGTTACTATTCTTTGTTCACGATTAAGCTGACGTTTCGGCGGATTTCGCCTTCTTCAGAGCCTGGAAAGGTCAAGTTGATAGCAATCCACTCCGCCAGACGCCTCCATAACCAAACAAAGAAACTCCAAACCAAGATTTCAATCACTTTGAACACAGCTTTGCACACTCACCGCTTTCTATGAGGTTTCCACTAAGTATGTCACGTAGAGACCAACCGCACAGAAATCACATGGAAGTATATTGTTCCCCTCACATTAGAAAAGCAGTTTTATATACTGCCCTATATCACGCGTGATAATGAGGCATTCATCCCTGCGGTTCATTTTCGGATTTCTGGAATTAATCCAGAGTGCCTCGAGAGTTTTTCGCGCCTGTGTTCTTGATTCGCGTGCAAGGGTCGTGACACATACTTCAAAGTCCTCCCCGTTATGTCTCTGGGTCCTATGCGTGCCTAGCGGAGTATTTGGTCTATGTTTGCCGGCTAGGTGTTCTTTTATGCGGACACAGAGGGGTCTACCCGTTTCGCCAATGTATTCGTCACCACACGTCTTACAGGAGATCAGATAAACTATACCCGAGCTCATGCAATCACCGTCTCTACCACTGGGGCAAATTATGCAATTTTGAGTTGCAC